CCATTTTTACCACTAGTAGAAGGAGCTTTTTCACTAGTAGCTTCCCCCTTGTCGGGGTTAGCATCCATCACCTTGTCAGTGGGATCACCCACTTTCATCGGCGCGGTAGATAGTTTAAGCTCTTCTAAGAATTTATTAAATATGCTTTCAACCTCGGTCGTCATGGAGGTTTTCAATGTGTCCAAAGCCGCATTGAATTCCTCACGAGAGACCGCGGTTCCCCCATCAGCCGTAGACGAGATCGGATTCACACCGGAGTGCTCCTCCCCACCGTCTACGGTGTCAACCATACTCTTCGGATGGCAAAGTCCTTAATAAAGAGACGAGGCTCTGATACCAATTGAAAGGATCGATATAGTTGACTAGAGGGTGGTGAATAGGCAACTAACAATTTTTAGCTTTTGTTTACCAAATTAAACTTTACATCAAAGTAGGTTATCTAGATATGCAACTAGGTGAGCAACCTATATGATGCTACAACAATAAGCACACAAGCAAGCAAGGGAAAGACCACAATAAAACTTGCACAAGTAAAGGTAAGAGATAACCAAGAGTGGAACCGATGAAGACGAGGATGTGTTACCGAAGTTCCTTTCCTTTGAAGGGAAGTACGTCTTCGTTGGAGCGGTGTGGAGGCACAATGCTCCCCAATAAGCCACTAGGGCCACCGTATTCTCCTCACGCCCTCACACAATGCGAGATGCCGTGACTCCACTATTGGTGCCCTTGGAGGCGGCGACCGAACCTTTACAAACAAGGTTGGGGCAATCTCCACAACTTAATTGGAGGCTTCCTACGACAACACGAAGCTTCACCACAATGGACTATGGCTCCGCGGTGACCTCAACCGTCTAGGGTGCTCAAACACCCAAGAGTAACAAGATCCGCAAGGGATTAGTGGGGGGAATCAAATTTATCTTGGTGAAAGTGTAGATCGGGGCCTTCTCAACCAATCTCGAGCAAATCAACAAGTTTGATTGGCTAGGGAGAGAGATCGGGCGAAAATGGAGCTTGGAGCAACAATTGAGCTTGGGGATGGAAGAAGTAAGTCTTCTTGGAGAAGAAGACCCGTTTATATAATGGGGGGACAATTCCAACCATTAGTCACCACTCAGCCTGTGCCCCGCGGTACTACCGCACCTCTGGAGCGGTACTACCGCACGGGCCTGCGGTACTACCGCGGGGGTCCGCGGTACTACCGTGGGCGCGGCATAGCCTGGACCCGACCAGATGAGTATTGACAGGGTGCGGTAGAACCGCTGGCGTGGTACTACCGCATGGGAACCACCGTCCAGGCACGGTAGGCACGGATATAAAAAATTACATCCGTGACTACATCCGCTGAGATTTTATCTGTGCAAAAATTCGACACGGTACTACCGCAAACGAGGTGCGGTACTACCGTGTAGGGTGCAGATGTAAAAAATTACATCCGCCCCTACTTCCGCTCATGCCACAGTGCCTGGCCAGGCGGCACGGTACTACTGCGCCAGAGCACAGTACTACCGCGTTGGGTGTGGATGTAAAAAATTACATCCGCCCCTACTACCGCTTGCGCAGCAGCGCCAGGCCAGAGCTCACGGTACTACCGCTCTGAAGGAGCGGTACTACCGTGGGCGCCCATGGTACTACCGTGCCAGAGCCCGGTACTACCGCTGGTGCCTACGGTAGTACCGCTCTGGGGAGCAGTACTAGCGCCAGCCTATGAACAACAACACTAGGAGTCCTTCATTCTGCAGAGACACAGTGAGACGGAGAAAGCTCCAAAGAGCCAAAGGAAAGGCGGTGCAAAATGGATGTGTGTACGTGAGATTCCACCCAAACCTTTCCAACACGGATCCCCTCTTAATAGTACGACTTTCCTACGACTCAAATCCACCGAAAAGAAACTTAGAGAACCACCGTCTTCAATAATCTTCGAGGGGCAACAAATCGTCTTGTGTTCAGTCATGATATATCTGAAAAGCTCAATGTACATGATTAGTCCACAAAAGCATTGTCATCAATCACCAAAACTACTAAGGGATAAGTATGCCCTTACAAATAGTATTGGCTTTCCTGTGGACTCAATGTGATCTTAGATCACTAAAAATGAAAATGTAGAGCCTTGAGCTTTTGCCAATGTTTGTCCTTAGCATCTTGAAGGGGTTCCACATCCTCTTGTCCATGTCACTCCAATGTTGAACTTATCTGAAATATACTAGATGAAAATATTAGTCCAACAAGAGATATGTTGACATTAATTACCAACATCATCCAGGGAGCACTTGTGCTTTCATGCCGTCATTTCTTTATCTTGCTTTTCTCTTGTTTTTTTTTGGGATTGATTGTGCTGTTTGCCCCAGCGATGAACTTCTGGTTGTATCGAGTGGTTGCTATATTAATATAGCGGGACGCAAGCCTATTTCGGTAAGTTTCAAGCATGTACCAAATGCTGCAAGTCTGTAAGACTGCATCTTTAAATAAAGAACATCTCCCACATTGTATTGTCTATATGTTATGTTTCTATCTGCGTACTTTTTCATCCTTTCTTGTGCTACTAGAAGGTTGTGTTTGAGTTGAGCCATCATAGTTTCTTTTTCCTAGAGAAAAGTTTGGGCATCAGCATCTATTGGTCCGGGTACTGAGACTTCACCAATCATTGGGCACTAAAATGGAATAAATTTTGTTGCAGTGGGATAAGTGGTATTGAACTACGAAAATCCATCTCTACACCCGAGCTCATCTGCACCCGCGCTGACGAAAAAAATCAAAACAAATACTAGAAAAATTCAAAAAATCCATTATTTTTTGTGGGAGAGACAATTTGATGCGTGAAGTCCGCTCCAAGTTTCAAATCATTTAGACATCTGAGGAGCTCTCAGCAAAAAAGATAAATTGGGGTCTGTAAAAATGTTTACTGTTTATGTACTGTTTTGGCCCGATTTTGTCTTTTTGCTGAGAGCTTCTCAGATGTCAAAATGACTTAAAATTTTAAGCGGGCCTCATGCATCAAATTGTCTACGACACAATTTTTTTTGGAATTTTTTGATTTTGTTTTGAATTTTTTACGATTTTTTTTTCTAACCGGGTGCAGATGAGCCTGGGCACCGAAACGCCCTACTCTATTGAACTGCCACTCTGCCAAGAACAACCAGAAGCACTAGTTCTTGGGCTCATTAAATGCCATACTTCTCAAATAATTTTCTAGACATTGATTAACTCTCTCTGTCTGGCCATCACTTTGAGGATGGTGGGCAATGCTCAGTGTGTGGACCCGTTGTTAAAGTTCTGAGTTGGCATCTTATTATGCTGGTGCTTACAGAACTATACTCCCTCCGTCTCAAAATAAGTGTCTCAACTTTATACTAACTCTAGTACAAAGTTGTACTAAGATTGAGACACTTATTTTGGGACGGAGGGAATACTTGTTATATTCACATATTTTACCATTCTGTCAAGGTGGCCAATAAAAGATAATGATGGATTGGGAATTTGGTATGTCCGATTGGTAAAATTCTTGAGAGTTTTGGACCCTCTTTAGTTTGCTTCACAATGTCTTTAGCAGCGCGAATCTTGCATCATAACAATTTAAGATGACAGGTAATCTGGTGTGTCCAGTTAATTTGCTATATTTTAGTTTTGAGTCTGGATTGGTGGAAATAGTGTGTTGCTTTACTTGCATTGAAGTCTAACCACATTACTGAAGTACAATTTGTCATGCACATATATCTACAGACTACAAACTGCAGTTACATATACAACTCTTCCCTGTAGTACTGACTTGCTACTACCTCTGTTTCTGACCCTTGGAACTGCCTTTCAAGTCATTGTACCCATGTACGTGTCCTGTTGTAGAGGTACTGTTTTCTCTCGAAGGGTCGAAGCTGATCAATGAGTTGAAAGGCAGGTACTGTTTTCTCTGAATATATTGATGTCAAAATAATCAGAAAGCTGCATGTGAGTGCCAGGATGGCAGAAAATTGCATCAAGATGAGGAGGTACAGCCTGCAGTGTAAATGCGGTTTCAGGCGAGATGAATCATAGCATGTAATATGCATGCATTCATCGGAGTATTTATAAACTGCAATACATCTTACATTTCGTATGGCAACCTAAATTTCCAATTAAGTACCTATAGTATGTTGTGTATGCACAAATTCAATTGCTGTTGCTGACTGAATCATTTGTGCTATGTTGTGGGTGGACCATACCTTTCTTCCTGTTCTGATTCTGATGGCCCGTGCCATGCCCAATGGAAGCTTTTAACTGACGGATTTTCTAATTCTCATATATAGCAAAAGCAAGGTATGAAGATAAAGCGAAAGAATGCCAATTGCAAGCTAGGTGAAGAAGGTACCTACAAAATATCAACAGCACTTCACTTTTGGTGCATCGCAGGATCTGATTGTCTGCAGCCTGACGCCACAAACTTCCTTATTGTAAGATTCAGCCAATTCAGATGGTACACCAGATCATAAGCATTTTCGCGAATACGCTTTGGAGCGTATCTTTGCATTGATAGAGGGGAGAAAGTACAGAGAAGCGACCTAGCCACCTACACAAGCTGGCGTGGCCGGGACGCTAGGTGAGCAGAGGACAGAGGGGATGCACAGCCCCAAAAACATCAGTTCAAGTTACAGAGATTAATGCAACTCCTTTGGCTCCGGCAGCTGCCCAGGAGCGAGCTTCCTCCATGATCGCGCGAACAAGGTCCGAGGTTGAGGGCATGATCTTGTCGAAGACTGCAGCCTTGTGGTGTTGCCAGAGTGACCAGGCAATGAGGGTGGCAATGGAGGCCAGACCGCGCCGCAGAGAGGCCGGAGAAGCGTTCAAGACCGTGGACAACCAATCGAAGAAACCAGATCATAAACTGAAGTACTAATTAAAAGTTGTAGTTACCAAATGAATTGTGCGAGCCAATATATACGCATGTAACCAGCAAAGGAAATTACAGTATCTGATTACCAAATATTCAACCGCAGAAACGGTAGCGTGTCACCGGGTGCAACTTAATTGTTTCAGTACTGCGCACAGAGCTCCTCAAATCTGGACAAGCTGCAAAAAACATTATCTATATGCTCATTTTGAGTAAAAGGTAGTTGAATAAAAAAGGCGAAAGTAGAAGCGAAACAATATATCACTGAACTAAGCGGGGAAAAGATCATCATGGTCACGGACCTTTTAAGGAGAGGCTTTGGATTGTAGGGGAATAAATCTTTCTTATGAAGATCTTCCAAAGTTTGCTTTAACGAAAGGAGACAAACTTTAGCACTCAGGAAAAGCTGTTCTTTGCTCTTATTTTCCTTGTCATAAGAGGAACCTAACTTAGTGCCTTCCATTGAGCTACCAGTGAAACTATTTATATCTTTCAAGGTTCTTTGCCTTTTACAGTTGAATTTTTGTATCTGTGCCTCGTAAACTGAATCATCGACAAAAGCATCCCAACACCCGGATACCAGTCGTAAGCACCTGAGAACAGAGACATAGACATCACACTCCATGTTGCTACACGTGTCTGTCATTTGACTATATCAGAAAAAATATGGAAGCTACTAACTGACCGTAATAGATACTGGGCACAATGCACACCTACATCTTTAGATATGAGATAATCAACAAGTACCAAGTGATCATAGTGCAACTGCAAAATAAATACAATAAATAATTAACAACTCAAAATGTATATTATACAGTCAAACAGGAGAATGAATTTGGATGATCTATAGAAAAGAAATGACTCATGGGTCAGCAAACGCAGGAGTCCTAAATAACACATTTGGTAAGTGTCGTTACAAATTGCCGAACACTCCATATGATTGGAAGGTCTAATAAAAATATATTTACTTGTACTTATGTGCAAACTGCAACGCATTCCTACAATCTGAAGTTATAGACCATCTGAAATTTACCGATGCCTACAGTCTCACACTCACTTAGAAAACCAGTATGCTTAAGTTGAGTACGAGATAGTAACAAGAGATGATTTACCTCTAGCTATGGTAGCTGATGTACACTTATCCGGACCTATTATCTTGATTGTTATTAGAGCCCTAACGAATTAACTGCCTACTTACTCTATGGAGTGCAGTAACCAGAATTCCTCGGCTAAAAATCATTATAGGATGGCATCTCCTATCCTGTACTGCATAAACTACTGGAAGCTTGTTGCTACATCTTTAATAACACGTCACCAAGAAACCATGACGGCATGAAGCTATTTGCACAATCAAATGAACAAGAACTGAATGTCATAATACTGCTTTGCAGAGATAAATGAGCATCTAGCGAATCTAGCAGAATAAGATGTATAACATGTTGACTGACTCACCAATGAAAGCCATTGATGAAAAATATGAACTGGGTCAAAAACTATGGAGAACAGTTTGGCACCAATCAGTTCAGACGTCCATTTAGTTTCCATCTTATCTCTGCAAATTTGGACAGAAGGTGGTAACTATATAAACATACATACAGTCTGCATAACTTTCCATTATGAAATATTATATGGTATATCTTCTGCTTACATTGCCAACGAAATAAGCGGAGCATCCAAAAGCTGCAAGAGAATGATGAATAACATATCGTCCTGCAACATGGAGGAGCATATGCCCAACACTATAACATTTACTCAAACACGAGGAATACAAGTTAACACTAATAAAACAAAGCATTAAGAAGATAAAGGCTTCAGCATTTGGCCTGAAGTCCAATTTACATTGGATGAACCGGGACAGGAGAGGAGAGGAACTGTATGTGCAAAGAAAAACATTAGCAAAATTGAGGAATAATGAGCATGATGCTCAAGATGTACTCAACATAGAAAGCAACTCCCTAGCAATCTGCACTAATATAGATCCAAATACTCTACTGTAAAGAAACAAACCACCCGCAAAAGGTGACAACAATCTGTTATGACCGGTTTAGCCTACGGCCGTAAAAGGCCCACCGGGCAATCTTAGCCCACAAGTTATCTTAGGTTAATTCGTATGCAAGTTATCTAGGTTATAAATATATGCTGTAAGACTCTTTTTGAGATTAAGCAATAAGAATATTCTTATTCCTGTTGCCCGGCTCCCAGAGGAGCCGGAACCCTAGCCGCCTCTAACCCTAGCCGCCGCCGTCATCTTCCTCCGTCGCGACGGCGCCCAGCCGCCGGCGCGCCCGCTCCATCCTTCCCCTACAACCTCCGGAGCAGGTCCGGTAGGACCCTTGGTTCTACCAATTTGGTATCCAGAGACTCGGGTTTGACCATGTCTTCTCCATCACTCACGCCGCCGCTGCCCTCCGGCACCACCGCCTCGCTGCCCGCCCCCCCGATGACCACCAACGGAGCTCCGACGCTGCCGGGGCCGAGCGCCACAGCGGGGGCCCCAATGCCGCCGGCTCCCGTCTCCCCCGCGCCACCGCCGACAACCTCGGTATTCATGCCGGAGGAGATGACCAGCATCCTGCGGGACCTCGTGACGGCCGTCCAGGGCATCTCCCTGTACCTGGCCAGCCCGTACACCACCCCGCCGGCTGCGCCCCCTGCCTAGAGCCACCCGGTGACGCTCTGGCCGCTCCAGGCCGCGTCTGGCGGACCGCCCCTGCTGCCGTTCCAGGCGGGCTACACCAGCGGGCCTCCGCCGCTGCTACACCTCCAGCAGTCCCCAGCCGCGGGCCAGCTCTGGCCGCCGTGGCCGCCGACTTCTACACCGGTTTCCGCCGCGTCTGGCCGCTACCCACAGCAGACGCAACAGCCGCTGCAGCTCCAGGCGCCACCTCTGCCCAGCGCCGGACTGTCGTCCGCCGCTCCGGCCGGCCTGCCCATCAACCAGGTCCGGTTCCCGCCCTCTCCATCTCCAATACCAGCGTGGGCGGCTGGGTCTTCTCCATCGCCGGTCTACACCGCGGCTTCCGAACAGCCGACCCCGTTCCCGCAGTTTGACGGGCCATCCGGCACCGTAGGTCGCCACCCGGAGTATTCCGACCAGGCTCCACCGGCCACCCTGCTCCGCTCCTCCGAGCCAGTTCGACACGGCGCTTCGGCGCAGACACCGCCGCGGTTTTCCAAAATCGACTTCGCCACCTATGACGGCACGGAGGACCCCCTCAACTAGCTCAACCCCTGCGACCAGTTCTTTCGCGGGCAGCGCACCCTCGCATCAGAGCGTACCTGGCTCGCCTCCTACCACCTCCGCGGCGCGGCACAGACATGGTATTATGCCCTCGAGCAGGACGAGGGCGGCATGCCCCCTTGGGAGCGCTTCCGCGAGCTCTGCCTCCTTCGCTTTGGGCCCCCGGTCCGCGGAAGCCGCTTGGCGGAGCTCGGTCGCCTTCCCTTCACCTCCACGGTGCAGGACTTCGGGCGTGACGGCGCAGCAGCGGGCCGACCTCTTTGTCGGTGGACTTCCGGATCACATCCGCGTGGACGTGGAACTTCGGGGACCGCAGGATCTCCAGTCAGCCATGTACTACGCCCGCGCGTTCGAGCGTCGCGCGGTGGCCATCCAGCAGGCATCACCGTCCCGGACCGCTGGGTCGCTACCCGGGCGGGATTCCGTGCAGGGTCGGCCTGCGCAGGCTTCCGCGGCACCCCTCGCCGCGACCACGGCGCGCCCGTTCCGTCGGCTCACCTCAGCCGAGCTACTCGAGCGTCGCCGCCAAGGGTTGTGCTTCAACTGCGACGAGCCCTACACGCCCGGCCATGCCTGCCCGCGACTCTTCTACCTGGAGGTTACAGACTACATTCCGGAGGACGCCGTCGCCGCTGACCTGGCCGCCCCAGCTGTCGAGAAGGTGTTTGACGCTGGTTGATCACCTCGAGAAGTTCAGCAAGCGCTTCCCCACCTTACAGCTCGAGGACGAGCTGTTTGTGCAGGCGGGGAGAAGTGTTATGACCGGTTTAGCCTACGGCCGTAAAAGGCCCACCGGGCAATCTTAGCCCACAAGTTATCTTAGGTTAATTCGTATGCAAGTTATCTAGGTTATAAATATATGTTGTAAGACTCTTTTTGAGATTAAGCAATAAGAATATTATTATTCCTGTTGCCCGGCTCCCAGAGGAGCCGGAACCCTAGCCGCCTCTAACCCTAGCCGCCGCCGCCATCTTCTTCCATCGCGACGGCGCCCAGCCGCCGGCGCGCCCGCTCATCGCCACGCCCCGCTCCATCCTTCCCCTACAACCTCCGGAGCAGGTCCGGTAGGACCCCTGGTTCTACCACAATCACTTATGAAGACAAACAGAAGCAGAAATGCATGAGTATGAACATGAAACCCAACTTATCTAGTACCTACAAGACATAACGAAAATCGACCAACTCACACAGAAGCTCGTTTTGCCATTGAACAATGAACAAAGTTAATGAGCTTTCTGGCATTTAGAGCAGAAGCATACCTCCTCCATATATAACTGCAGAAAGCATAAAACAATGTCTGTTGATGATTTTGAGTCCAAAATCTTGTCTAAGCAACATCTCTGAAACCAAACTGAGATTTCTGATAAGCCAAAATAGTTGCAATTATCAGTGCAGCCTTGCCCCTTGTGACAACATTGATCTCTCTTACATGAACATTTCAGTCTACTATCATTTCCACTGCAAGCCAAGACTATCGAACAACTAAGAAACAAATACATAGCCTGCCTTTGTAAGTGCCGAGTAGATTTATCCTGAAGCTCGCCCAAACCTACACCACTTAACAAAAATGGGGATCCTTCTAAACAGTTCTCCAGTTTAGTGCTATGTTGGAACATAGGTTCATGGAGTGTACTCTGAAAGTGGCGTCTAAGTAATTTCAGCAAACAAACAATATGTGAGCAGTTCTGCTGTATGTGAGGCTTAAGCCTTATCATTAACATCTGCATTGAGAAAGCAATGATTGATGAGTACTTGGTCACAGATTGTTTCAACTTCGTAAGAAAAGATTGCTGAATGTATGAAAACTACCAATATTTTGTGCTTTGAATACTGAGAGAGACTTTTGGGGGTATCCTGTTGCTCTTGTAAGAAAGTTCCTAATCTAGGAATGACATCTGCAAGTTTCACAAATATATCTCGTCGATCTGTGTCTTCTGTGTCACTTTGCTCAACTAAAGAGCACAAGAGCTGGAGGAGACTGCCTGACACTATTCCAAACTGTGCAGAATCTTCACTCAAACTATGTCGGTCATCCGTGACAATGCTGACAACTTTCCCGGCATTGAGTTGGTAACCAGGATCCCAATGTAACTTCTGAATATGATGAATGGACAGGCAAATGAAGTCATCTTTCAGTTCAGAGTCATTGAGTTTCAGAAGCTTCAGAATAATGTGTAGTGCTCGAAAGAGGCAAGTCATTATCTGCCTACTGGTATTGACACATCGTAGTTTGAGTACTGCTATAAAGCTTGTAATGCTGGTTCTTTTAGTCATAGTGTCATGACTTATGCTTTCCGCAGCAGATGAACAACCAACACAACCTTTGGTGGCATTAATTGTAGAATGATTATGAGCGCATGTTGATACCGTGTGTATAGCTGCCCAGACCAGCTCAACAAACTGAATCCAAACGGCTTCCTATGAACACAGCAACAGATACAATAATAAATAAATAATTCTATAGAGAAACTTATGCACCATAAAACAAGGAGAAGAGCATGAGCAGCATACAAACTTCATTAGGGAATTAGAGATGGCCATCAAGATATTCCCAGCTGAATGCTTAATATAATCACTACATAGATGAAGTAAGCCAACCTGAAAAGGATGGGGTAACATAGAAGTTCAGTAGTTTATAAGCCTTGATACACCGGGCTGCAATAATACACAAAGAAAGATAAATAACAACACACTAGCCAATATTCATAACACGAATTTAAATGGATGGGGTATAAGAACGATGAAAATCACCAAAGCAAAAGGTTATGCCAAGCCAAGAATATTGACAACAGCACACACAGTTCTGCACATGCTAGATGTTAGATGGGGCGGCAAATTGGCATGAATAGGATGCACGCCCAAAACATTATGCCAAATTGCCACTTCAATAATAAACAATATCTTCATTATAAACCTGAAAGCAGCGAGTCCAATAAATAGCCTGATGTGATGGCACCACAAATTATCAATCTAATACTGAAATAGTAAAGGACTCAAAGTTCCACAAGTTCCTCAGGTTAATTATTGGTGCAATGTTGATGTTATCCATTGTCATGTAGGTAGGTTTAGTTTGGACACGGCATCGCTACTTATGGACCAAACGATAAGATTGGATACAAATTCCAAAACTGTGAGCTTCACCCTTGCTCTTCTCCTCATGTCAAAAGTAATTACTAAAAAATGTCAAAGCAAGAGGTTGCAAAATAAAATGTAGCCAAGTTCTATTATTAGAAAAGAAACACAGCATGAGTGTTATTAGTTTGTGATGCCTGATAGAAAAATAACTTTTCAAAAAGGTACTGCTGCCAAAAAACCTTGATGGCTAAAGTATGGTGCTTGTGCATGAGGGCAGGTGTCCGGGTCTGCAGCAGCTTGGCAGGGGGGGTGGGGGGAGAACATGAAACATGGAGGACATCACATGAGAAGTTCTTACCACTATGGAGATAATATTGGTCAGGCAGCTAAACCCATCATCAAAATGGTAGTCAGGTGGCAAACAGCAACTGTGAGCTTCCGAACACGAAACAATCTCCAAAAAGGCAAGGGGATGAAACAGGTAAATATGAATTATCTCTTAATAACATTTTACTAAAGTATAGATACAAATGTGCATGAGTTTGAATTCAACAAAATATAAGAATAAGATACAAGGCAAAAATTAAGTATGGTACAGAATATCTCAATAAAAATATACAAGACCTGTAGGTTTCAAGGAAAGCATGTGTAGCTCAGTTTTCTATTCTAATTACTGACTGAAACTCACTCTGTTGGTCGCATGATTGGCACACTCGAGCTGCTACACGAGACATCTTACAATACGGACTACATTTATGTGCTACTGGTTACTTGCAAGTTTGGTGCGTTAATTCTAATCCGGTAAACCCTAAAACCAAACATCAGAGCGACCGATGAATGGCTCAGGGAAATCCAACTAAGAACTACTGTAGTAGAGAGATAAACAGTCAAAAGGGACCAAAAACTAAGCAACTGAAGTCTGAAGCAATACCTGATCCCATGCGCGCCCTTGCTCCCCATCATCCACCTCGTCGTCGTCCCATCCTCGAATTGCCTTGTTTACCTAATACCAAACAAAAATCCTCAAAACAATCATGGGAAGACGGGAGCGGAAAACGTAAAGCAGCAGTAAATCAAATCATCGAATCGAAGCTAGAGGATTACCCGGGAGAGCGCGACGAGTATGCGCCGCTCTTCCTCCCGCGTGAGCTGCGGCCGCCGCGTCGCCAGCGGTTCGGGTTCCTGCAGAGGAGGGAGGACAGCGCAAGCGGCGTGAGAGGCTAGCTGGGAGGCCGCGGTTACCAGATACGAGCGCCCGGCGTTGCTTACGAGGTGGGGAAGGAGGGAGTCGGCGACGAGGTCGCAGAGGCGCGCGAGCTGCTGCCTCTCCTGCCACCGCGGCCGTTGTGCCATTTCCTCGCCGTGGGTCTGATTCGAATCGATGGCTTCGATAGGGGGATACCGTCTCCACCAGCTGAAATCCTAGGTCAGTCTACCGCTTTGAGGAGAATAGCGTTTTTTTTTCTTCTAAATCAAACCTGCTTTGTGGGCCAGTTCTTTTGGATACAACAATGTTATAGGACTTTTTTTTCGCGAGAAAATGCCATAGGATAATTGAACCCGTAGGCACAAAACAGGCCACTCTAGAAAAATGACAGATTACAACTACGACTATATCATTACCATATCCACTCTTCATTTATCCTAATTTGCAAACTGATTGAAATGGATACACTACATTTTTCTAATTATTGTGCACTTTTTTTTACTAATATCATTCTTTTGCTAATATTATCCCATGAGGACATGGTCTACAAATTCTCTTCTTAATGGAATAGAGATTCCTATTTCTAGTATTCTCATAAGAACATCTACAAATAAGTCATTTGAATTGTAAATTTTATTATTCTAGAGTTTTTTAATAAGTTATATGAAATCTTGCTAAGTGCATCATTCAGGTTCTTCGTCTATACTCACTTCATATATATAACATAAGCAACAACACTGGATTTACATATTACTGAAACTAGTTGGTGCCCACGCGTTGTCGTAGGTGGTTCATCAGTAACAAAGAAAAATGCTATATATTAGAAAAATGGATTGAGCATCAAAGAAAACAAATGCAAAAAAAATAACAAATCAATTGACAGAAAAATGTAAGCTTGGAACTTGCTGATGTAAAAGTTCATGCTTAATAAAAAAATAAAAGTATTTTGGATTCGAAATGCCACATCTGTAAAATTATAAATCACGCCCTATAAAGATGTGATCCAGTGCAAAGGAAGGTGGGATGTGACTTGTGAGTCATTACAATTGTGTTTCACAAGGCATCAATCTAGATAACCAATTAAACTCAATAGTTTTGAATACTCAATGGAGAATTTTTCGCACATAATCATCAAAAGGAGTGCATGTACACAGAAGAACTATCACACAGATCATCCTAGAGTTGATATTTGTTGGTTCAAAAGTATCGTCTGTCTCTCATTGTAAACATGATCTCATACATAAACAAAGCACTAGTGCGGCAGTGCCCTATAATGCAGAACTCTTTTCTTTTATTCAAGGGTGTTTAAGCTTCCACATTCACGACACTATTGAGTAAGCAAAAAACCATATTCAGTTAACATATGGGTAGGTTACCTACCCAATCTTGTCGGATGCTTGTACAACAAATCCAACTGAAGGTGTGAAGCACTAAATCCTTGTCATGCCATGACTTGTCTGAAATTTTGAACAATAACACATCCTAAGAAAACAACATACCATTTTAGGCTAAAGAAACAACATGTTGAAACATAAGAAACGAGGAGCTTTATTCTCGCAGATTCATATTCGCCTTATGATGCTGTTGTCGGAAGAAGGTATCTCACATATTCGAAATCCCGAATTTCCACCGAAAAAGACTAGTGTAACTCAAGAAGTAGGAGGTTTGAGGCTGACATCAATATGTCAAATTTTAATCGAACGTTTACACTGTGATGGGATGAAGTAAATCGAGCGACTTCAAACATAGCAAGGGAACTAAAGGCAAGCGTAAATGCTTAGTTGTTTTATCAATTTCTTTCACGAAAGCTTCGTTTGCTTCTTATGCATTTGTGCTAGTGGGGCCCAACGGGGCATGAAGCAACGAAAGGTTGCGTGTGTGACATTGGTAGATGGGTTGTTTTCGGTTGTGGGTGGGATGGAGCAGTTCATGAGCCATGTGTGTTATTTAATCCATGCAAATATGAAGTAAAGAGATTGACGAGCAGTGCTTTATATCGCCTTCAGTGAGCGCTAAAGGTGGCTCGCGTTTACCTTGGCGTACCTCCCGCGCCAGCGAGCACTCGCTTACATGGGCCTCGCCCGACCAATAATAAGTGAGCGCCCATCCCCCAACCAATGAATGAGCACGCTTTTTCTCATTTGTTCACATCCGTTTTATTCCAGTAACATTTCATTATAATTTGATTTTTTTAGAAATTTTGGGGAAAAAATGA